AAGGTGTCTCTTCATCCTTCCTTTCAACGTGAAGAAGGTAGAAGTATTTTAACCATAGAATCTTTGAGCTAGAGTATTTGGCACATTGCTGGGAAACAGTTCCTGTGGAGCAAAACCCAGTGCAGCTGTTCTCTGTGGTTTGAAGAGACCAATCAGTCTATATACTTGCATGTGAAAGAAAGTAATGGTAATGGAAAGAGCAGAACTTGAAGACAAGAGATGGCTAGATGAGTTACTGGAAGTTAATGCAACAAATGTTAAGGACCAAGATGAGAGAAGGGAGTAGTTTGCTTCTGCTCAATCCCCTCCTTGTTCTCATAGATACTCAGTGGTGTTTGGACAGAACTGTTTCCATCCTTTTCAGTTTGTTCATTCCAGTTTCTTAGGCCATGCTTATTTTTCCCTTCAGGATTTAGGATTTTGTAACTAGTGCACACCTACGCTGTTGAAATGAATTGCTTCTTATACCAGTAAGTGCCTTAAGGATTGCCTAATGGCTTGAGAGGAAGAAAGCCCTCCTGAAGAGTTGAAATTTTCTTGTGTTATCCAGTTGAGCCCATTTAACTGTATCTACTTGCCAGGCTTTATCACTGCTTAATAAAGTATGCCTGTGATTACCTGAAACTTGCTGCATACTCCATAGTTTAATTAAAGTCATATGCTTTGGCACTGGTTCAGAAAATCTAGTTGCTTGTTGAACAGTACATTCCTGTTCCTTGTAAGCAAGAGTTATCTGGAAACAGGCATTAAAAATAGTTAAGTCTTGAAAGATTTGGGCATTTATTTTGGGATTGATGGGTATACTACTAATCTTTTGACCTCCAGATGATGGTGTCACAAATGCAAAACCACTGCTTGTCAGCATCTAAACTTATAAGACACGGGGAGAAGTGTGATAGAAGTAATTTGCCTGAGATGTTGTGTTGCCTAATTGTCTAGCGTAAACTTTTTGTACATCTCCAGCATCTTAATGCTTGCTAGGGAAAAGAAACCCACCGAATTTTGTGGGACCACAGATACGACATGTAAGTCTAACTTTTCTTTGGAAAACTATAAAGAAAGGCAGAATTTTTCCTTTGGTTCTTCAGTGATTCACAGGTTTTGTCTGTGAATGCTACCTATTTGAGGCACAGGATTGTTGATACAGCCTTGTCAAGCCTGTAACGTGTTGGTTTGTGCTGCATGGTCATGTTACAACTTATGTGATAGAGAGTAAAAGTCTAACAGATAAGATTACAAGTGATTTGAGCAGCTTTTATAAAATTTCACTTACAGGTTAGTTTTCAGAATATATTCCTTGCCTTTTTGTTGAAATATTAACTACCATTTTATAGGTTTTGTCATCGCAATGTGGGCAAAGCTCAAAGTAAAACGTGCAATTAGGTTGAAGAAGAGCTAGTGTAATCAGTCCCCTCCTCCTGTGTACACTTTGCGAGATCGGGAGTATTTCTGTATCTGAGTGTCTCTTCAAACCCAACCTCTGTACAATGCCCACATGAACCCCTTTCCATGGTTGAAATTCTATGTTCCACTTCCTTGTTCTTTGTCAGTCATGAAAATGCCTTTTACAATGTTACGGAAAGTATAGTGAAGGGCACATGGCAGAATAGGGGACATAGTCTCAGCTTCCTGAGATACGTGCTGTCTCGTGTGCCAGTTTTCATTTTTAAATTGCTTGGATTAGCTGCTCCATGGCTGGATAGGTGCAGATGGAAAGGAAGCTGTCTTTCTGAAACCTTTTGCCACCATGCCTGTAAACATCTGTTTGAGGAAGGGATGCTGGCTCTCTTAGTGCCTAGTCTGGTTGAATGACAGGTAAAATGAAGCCTAATTCATCACTTATTAAAAAGTGATGCTAATAAAGGTGTTCTGTTCCTTAGGGACTCCACATGAGTAAAGAGACTGTATTGGAAATTACCATGCATTTTCAGTACTATGGTTAAAAAAAAAAATTACAATTAAAGTTTGGTGTTACTAGCCAACAAACATGGAAAAAAGAAAAATTGCGCTAGATGCAGGCATGGGAGTATGCCCTTTTTGGTATTTTAATCCAGAACCTCCTTAGATGCCATTTACTTTGGAGTTCTTTGCTTCTGGAATATTTACTTCCACTGGGTAAATGAATTTGTCTCCCTTTTCCATAAGGAAGAATGCCACTATTCAAACTTGCCAAATTCAAAATGAACTTGGAAAAAGTAGTCTGGATCGGTCTAACATGAGTATGAACACAACCTAGCAGGACTGAGGAAAAAGCTGGAAGACCTTTCTGAGAGGCTGTTGTTACTCTGGCTCGTGTGAGACGTGCGCTTGGAGTCGGATGAAAGTGCTGCAGGAAGACTAGCGTTATGCTTACGGCAAAATTGGAATAATGGAAGAGTAATTCTCTGTTCCTTTAGATAAAACCTGTCCATTGTGCTTCTTGCTATTGCACTTGAATACTGTAACTGCTTTTTCTGGCATGTTTAAAATACACTGTTCTTATCTGTGTCAATTACAGCTTCAAAGTCTACCTCCATCTATCATCCATTATCCTGTCTCTTAAATTATCTGATTGCTCTCTACCATCATCTACTTCAAGAATAACTTTTTCAGTCATCCCTTAAGAGTCTCGCTCAAATGGGCTGAATCCCAGATACCTTCTTTTGTCCTGCCTCTTTATCCTTTCCAGTGGCAAATGCTCCCAGCCGGGTGTCATCCTGCTTGGTTTGCAGGCTGCCCCAGTGCATCATAAAGCATTCTGGTGTGATGAACTGCCTGCCTTTCCGTGCCTCGTTCTGCTACCCCGTAACTGCGTATTGTATGGGGTGTTTAGGGAAATGGAGTTAAATCCTTCATAGACAGTGACAGGAGGGGAAATTAAGCATAAGAAAAAGCTGGACTTTAAAGCCATCTTGGACAGGAGTGTTATCTATGACCTTTAGTCTGTAATACAACACACGTGTTCTGAGTGATTTCTGGGTAATAAGAGCTGATATGTAGACTGTTTAATTCTACTGAATGCAGTTTTGCCCGAGTGTGCCAACAATTAAACATTTTATCACTACTCTGTAATTAAAATAATTGCTCCTACTCTGGAGCTTGTATTTTGTAGGTTTTACTCACCAGAAACGTAGATGTGTGGGGTTGTTTTTTTTTCTTTTAATACACACAGTACCTAACCTCATATTTATGACAAACTAATAGCCCTTCAAGGTTTGAGTTGAAACTTCAGGCTCTAAAGCAAGGTAAGAGAACCACATCCCTTCCTGTGGCGAGTTCAGCACTGTCAGAAGGAGGCACATGAACTCTGCTGCATGCAGGAGCTTAGCAAATCCTAACCCTGACTGCTAGAAAGAAAAACCTTTATAGAAACAGAGTGCTTATGAAGAACTTGAATAAGTAGCTGCCTGTGCCATAATTCAGTACCCCTAGGCAGTGCATCTCACTCCTCCAGTTAATTCTGAGTGGGTGGAGAAAGGCTTTCCTGAGTCCTTTTTGTTCTGAGCTACTTAATGCTCATAGATTAAAACTTGGAACTGCAAATTTGGCTTGTAGCACTTGTATTCTGTAAGTTATTTTAACCTCTCTTATGCGATTTGAAGGTTTGACTACCTGTAAAGCAAATTATAGCATTAAGTTGTTACTGAGGTGACCAAATCTGAGAACTCCAGGAATCTTGAAGGGCTGGGAGGAGAAAAAACAGAGACCAAAGAAGGTGCTTTTGGCGGGGAGAACAAAATACATGCAATAAATGTGCTGAGGGTACCCCTTGAAGGGGAGGGTACAGCAGGAGGGAGTGCACAAGACATGCCCATGCTGCACTTCCGCAGAACATCGTGTCTGGTCAAACTGAAACAGAGATGTTGTTGTGATGTGCTGTAAACCCCAAACATGTCATCTTTTTTCTTAAGGCGCATTTTTAGATTCACCGCTTAATGATCTGGTTAATGGTCTTGCCCACAAAGAGTTTTTGTTGCCACAACTGAAGGGGCAGTGAACTGCTGCATGGGGACTTCCTAGGCCAGCCCTCTTGCCAAAGGCGGCATCTCGTGGCACTGTGCCCCCAAGGAATTTTGTCCTGGGGTGTGAGTTCAGCCACACTGTGGGCATAGATGTGAATGTGCATCCTTCTAGTACAAATGCTATGTAATATGGCTGTTTGTAAAATACTTCTTCCCTCTCCTGAGTGCTTAAACGCTTGGATTGACGTGTGGAACAGCATGTAGGTTTGCTTAGACTGTGTGGCACAAAGGAGGAGGAGATGAAATACAGGAGAAGCTTGTCTTAGCTGGTTTGAATATATATTAATCATTTTAATGTATGGTGGAAGATGCTGTACTATTCTACTCTCATGGATTCTAGAAGCCTCAGGATGTGGGCATAAGATGCTCTGGTCATGTGTGCAGGAAGTGAAGATGGATGAAAATGCTGTATATATCTTAGTTATAAGTTTAAATATTTAAATATCGATCCTCAAAGTTATATTCCTAGTGGCTTGTTTTTGCTCATGTTTGAGGAATATCTTCTTTATAAGATGGTGTGATGGTTACTGCAGATGGCAGCTTCCAGAAGTCTAAACGGAGATGTCTGTGGCCAGTGAATAAATGGCAATTGATGAATCATCTTCCTGGCATAGTACTGGAATATCCTACGCTCTTTCTGAAATGGAATCTGCATTAAATTTCCCAGAATTTCAGTCTTGTGCTCAATGTTCTGAGGATCTCAGACAAATACTGATATCTTCTTCTGTGGCTATGTGTAGGACCACAAGCTGGAGGAACTTAGGAGTAGTTAAGCATCCTTTAAGTATGAGGAGTAACTACATTTCAATGGAAAGTCCACAGGTGGGAGGGAATGTGGAATAAAAGACCCTACGCTAGGCAAGGACAATGGAAAGCATTAAGCAGGAAATAGGGTATATGGTTGGAGGGGGGGGACACAATATCTATCCTGAAAAATGCTATTGAAATTTTTAAATGCTTGCTTTTTGTTGCAGATTAATCAGCCACTCGATGGGGATTAACAGTGGAGCACCTCTTTGTGTTGCCTTTCCACCTCTCTGTAGCAAGAGTAACAACTTCAGCACTTCTTCAATAATAATTATGAAACTGGTATTAACTGAATGGCAATTATGGATTTTTAACTCTAACTCACAGTAAACCAGCAAGCCATATGTTGAAATTTCTACCAAATAGCTTTTCGTTCTTAATGTCTCAAATCTATACAAGAAATTGCAAGATACCTGTTTGTACAAGAGGAATATAAGCATTACTTGCCAGAGGAGGCGAAGCTGAAAGAGAAGACACCCTAACTTGTTCGTGGAGTTATGGTAGTATTATTTATATAGATATAACAAATATATATATATTTTTTATGGTAATGAAAATGGCTCCCCAGAATGCTGACTCGGAATCTATGCAAGTTCAAGATCTACCTGTGGCACAGCTTCAGAAACCAGAAAACAAGGAGAACGAAAGCAGGGAGGAGACCATTAGCGAAGGATCCATAGACCGGATACCAATACGCCTGTGGGTGATGCATGGTGCCGTAATGTTTGGCAGGGAGTTTTGCTATGCCATGGAGACAGCTTTGGTAACGCCCGTATTGTTACAAATTGGTAAGTAATTCTCATTTCTGTTAATCAAAACTTACATGTCTTTTGTCACTGAAAGTCAGAGGAAGAGGGAAGTTGGGTCTGCCAACTGAAAACGCACAAGGTAAAAAAGATTTTGTCGTTTTTGTTATTGGCAGATGCAATTGTGTGACCATGTTTAAGTGGGGAGGATTTCTGTATGCATTATGTTCTGTCTAATATTGCTTCCCTCTAAAAATTTTAGCCTGATTTAAGCCTGAATTCCTTTTTGAAAGGTCCTGGACACTACAAACAACACTAGACTATAAAGGATTGCAGTTAAGCTGGTTTTTTCTTTTAGGGAGAAATGCTTTAGGTTACAGTACTTTACAACAAACAGGTAATTTGTTTTTTTTCCAGCTACTTGTGAAATACTGCATTTATTTCAAATCACTGGTGAGCCTTGGCTTATGTGATTAATCTGTTTATAACACATGGATATATATGAATAACCCTTGATACAAATAGCTATAGATAATAATGGTGGGTAATAGGTATTAGCAGTACAGTGTTAAATTCCATGGTGAGTACTGTAATTAGGTTTCTAATAAACTGCTTACAGTATTAACAGTATCTAGTATTATCTTTATCAAATCCAAAAAGTAATGTTCTCTCTCAGATATCAGAAAGTATTACATGGAAGTGAATGGAAGTAGTGGGCTGAGTGTGCTTCCATGAGTGAATAAATCAGTGATGTGTGTGCACATATATAATATACGTTTGCTGGCGTTTGGTTTGGCTTATACTTGCAGTTGTACCTTGCAGCATGCTCAGTTCCGGCCAAACAGAAGCACTCCACCAACTCTCTAAAATAATGTTCATCGAATACTATTTACAACATTGTTTAAAAATGTCAAGGTTAGCATCTCAAAAGAAACATCTGTGGTTTTATATTTGATGTGAGAAAAGGGCGTAAAAGATTGAACTTGTGAGAATGCAGTGTACAAATTCTTCTGTGCAGTCTTCCTGCAGTTAATGTGTTTTCATATTAATCTGTTAGTCTGGTTTATTTTGACTCAGCAGAGGGTCAATGATCAGTGCAGTTAATACCATGAGAGATGCTGATGGGTTATGCCTCCAAGTTTTCCTGAAAGTTTTAATTTTTAGAGCTCATCAGATGTCCTTTTTGGATCTGATCGTGACACAGTTAAAATAGATTGAGTGTTCCCCAAAGAGGAGCTTTAAGATCAACCTGACTTGCTGAGTAAAACACATGTAATTTCATCTGGGAATGTTTATAATGTTGTAACTTGTTTTGAGGTTTTGTCTCTTGGGTAAGTTGATGTTTAGAGACTTAAGTTTTTGTACTAGCAGCATTGGTTCAGTTACTGTCTGCCATGAATGCAGAATACTTGCATCCTGCTTTGCCTGGAGAAGACCCCCAGTTTTGTAAGTGCCCTGTACTTCTTTGTTCACTTTCTTGTTTGTGCTGGCACTTGGATGTTTTAAATGTATGGCTGGCTAAGCTGACTTTACCTTGCCATGGAGCAAGGTCACACAGTATAAATAAACCATTCTCTTAATTACTGACTATTAGTTTACATTTCTTCTGTGAGCTCTTCTAGCAGATCTGTTTCCTCCAGATAATCAAGAAACATCTCTTCCCTTCCTTCCCTAACCCCAGTGATCAAAATAACATTGGGATTTGGGGGAAGGGAGGAAGAGCTCTCACTTCTAGAAAAGCTGGCAAAAGGCTGTGAGTCTGCAGTGGTGATGTTCCAAGTGGCATAGATAAGAACGGGAGGTAGCTCGTTCCAAATGTTAGCACTTGGGGAACTAAATTGGGCACTTTCAGCCTGGAGAAGAGAAGGCTCCGGGGAGACCTTATTGCAGCCTTCCAGTAGCTGAAGGGGCTACAAGGAAGCTGGGGGGGACTTTTTACAAGAGCCTGTAGTGACAGGGCAAGGGGTAACGGGTTTAAATTGAAAGTGGGGAGGTTTAGATTAGATATCAGGAAGTTCTTCACAGAGAGGGTGGTGAAGCACTGGAACAGGTTGCCCAGAGAAGCTGTGGATGCCCCATCCCTGGAAGTGTTCAAGGCCAGGCTGGATGAGTCTTGGAGCAACCTGGTCTAGTGGAAGGTGTCCCTGCCCATGGCAGGGGGGTTGGAACTAATGATCTTTAAGGTCCCTTCCCACCCAAACCATTCTATGATTCTGTGATAATTGAAATCTTTCGTGCTCTGGCTCATGTTCCCTCAGCAGGAGAATAAACAACGCTGGATTCACTGAAGGGTTAAGTTATTCACGGGTGACTTATCTAGCCTGTTTAGTAATTGCCTCTTACACAGTTCTGTTTACCTTTATCAACCTCAACATCTGTCTGCCTCAACATGAGCTATATTTATTCCTCACTGGAGGGGGTTGCGTATAGCTGTTGAACTGCTGTAATACTCCCTTTGCTTCTTATTTTGGTAAAAGGGACATTCAGTTGTTTTCTGTGAGATTAAATTGGCTTGAGAAACTCTTTTTGAGAAGTGGCACCTGGGGAAGTGTGATGACTCAACCAACTCACTTTGCTTATAATAAACCGAAGAACCACAAGTCTTTTGGGTATGCAAAAACTCTTCCTTACAGATGTATGTTGAACATAAACGATTAAGCTTTACGGTGTATGCTTGTGCTCTATATCTCAGAGAAAACTTTGGTCACTGAAATAATCTGAGATTCTTATCTGATACCACCATTAAAACCTTAGGCAATGTTAGTGTGGTATTGCACACTTTCTGCTTGCAGGTATCTGACTTTCCTAGCTGTTGTGTACCCTGGATCAAAGGTATACTTAGGATTTGGCAGATCAATGACCTCTCCTACTTGTTCTGTAAGCAATGAGGTTTCTGCAACTGAAGGAGATAGTCCTTTGGATAGTCCCTTTCCAATTCAACAGTGGTTCAATTTCTTCATTTCCTGAAGTTTTGAGTTCTTAACAAAAGAAGTAAAGGCAGTAGGCAGAGCTGCTTGGATCGATAGATACTGAATTGGAAAGGCCTTGAAGTGCCCCAGTTGCTGTACCCCTACCAAAATAAGTTCTGATTTGTGGCATTAATCTTTCTTTATTGCTCTGCCTATATTGATGTTCCATGGCCTTGTCAGAAATGCAGCTACAAAGCTCAAACAGCCTTGCAGTCATAGCGGGGCTTTAGTAGCTTAGCAACAAGAACAGGCCAAATACATATTATACCTTTTTTTTATTCTAACTTGCTCTTTGATTTCTTGCTATCTGCAGCTCAAGCATTCAAAAGGAAGCAGCTAACTTTCGGAGGATACGAAAATGTGCCAAAAATGAGAAGTAGCAGACTGGATCTGGATGAAATTATACCAGTTGGCACTTTCACAAGTTCTGATCTCTAGAAATCTTCATTAACTTTTTTTAGAGACCCATTCAGTCAGCATTTCCTCCCCACCAGTATTAAAACTTTACTAGAAAATCAACTGTCGGCACCTTCAGCACTCTAGGTTTACTTATTCATCAATCCAAGATTTTTGAGAAACAGTGATTTCTTGTTCCTGTCGAGTATGTTCTTTAACACTACTGATGCTTCCCCTGTTGCATTTCAGCTACAAACTATAAACTCCACAGGAGCAGGATGAGACCTTTCTCTTCTGAAACATCTGGTACTTAATGCTGCTTATCCGGGAGAGGGAATTAAAATCTGTGCTATTGTTTATAAATGAAAGTGTGTTTTCTTCCATCATCAAACTTGGCTTCCAAGGATTAAATCTCTAAATCTACTTCCAGTTCATAAAAGTTCATGGATACATTGGATAAATTTTATAGACTATTTCGCAAGGGATTTTGAGTGAATAAAAAGTCAGGAGAACCTAATGACTGGTGTGGTGTAAACCTAGAGAAACTGGTGGCTTTTTGAAGAAACATGTTCAGTGAAATCACAATACATGGCTCCTGTTAAAAAAAAGTTTAAACCGTTATTAACATAATTTGGTCATTTCAGATTATTTCAGTTGTAATTCAAGCACAATTTTGTGTGGTAATGTAACCAGTAAATCCATTTTGTATCTTTTAAAAAGTGGGATCCATGTGCTTGTTTTATTAGGATTGCAGAAGAAAAATCTGTATTCTGTGACTTAGGGTGGCTGCTGCTTTCAGCATGAAAAACTTGCTGTCTGACTAATGAGTGGTGGTGGCTGTAAACATGAATTTTCTTGTTATATATTTAATATGATAAAAGCTTTCCCAAGCCTTTACTGTTGCTTCAAAGGGTCTTTCCAATGCTGTTGAGTGTTTTATGAATAGTTAATAGGCACAGAAGTGACTGTCAGCACCAGAACTGTTCTTCATTCCCCTGCATAAATTAAATATATTACACCAGTGCCTTTAAAAAGAAACTCTACATTTACATAAAGAAAAATATGAGCAGTTTACATGTGCTGCTTACCTTTACAATGTTACTTAAATTTAGGGAATTTCTCCCATGTGGTACAGGAATAGCCTTGATTTTTATGCATTTCAGATCCGAGGTCCTATCTGTAATGGCATCACTTTGTTTTGCTGTGAGAGTTAATGGGCTCTTGTAGTAAACATTAGCTAGTCTGGAATTAAAAATTGAAGTTGGCCATTTTAAGCTTAACCCTGAGCATGGTGTTCTTTTTAGGCGATAACATCAAGCAATACCATTTCTGGAAACCGTATTTCGATGCTAATTAATAGGTTTCCATAAAGAGAGGCTGAGTTAAGCAGAGCAGAATACCATACATTATTTTTGTTTGATAAGAAAATTATTTCCCTCATTATATGCTTTCAAATCAGCAAAATATTGTAGTCAGTCATGTCTCTAGGAGATCTGTTTCCTATGTGTCTCGTGCATGTGGAAAAGCTTTTAGGGGCCTTGGGCTGGTGTTTCTTGGTTAATTTTTTCTCAGATATGACTAAATGCTTTATCTAACAATCAGAATTATTCCAGCCCAAAGTTTAGAAGAACATGCTTAAGGGGTCTTGAAATCTGTTTCATGTGAAATTGCCAGTAT